GACGCCCCCCCCCGGTCAAATCTTGCTCAAAAAAGCCCGGTCTAGATAGGGTTAATATTTATATTACTTATACACTTAATCCACTTCATATTCCGACGTATGTGACAGGTAAGTATTTCTTTCAGAGTATATAGAAGCTAAGGTGGTCAGCTGAAACTCATTGTCCACGTTCTTACCATTTTTTCTTGAGCATTTTTACTAATTTACTAGTCTTGAGTTTAATTTCGTTAGACACAGATACAGCAGCTAGCTGGTGGCTTTTTTAACATGAAATACGTAGCATAAAAAACTACAGAAAAGTTTAAACGACATTGCAAGGAATATATAATCTATATTTTGCATCCATTTCCTCTTTATTATTTATGTTTTGTTATTCCTAAAAAAACGCTAAAACTACGCAACATGGAATTTGGTAGGATTATTATAGCTACGAGGTGTGGTGAAACATATTGTAATTGGTATGGATATCATACCATAGGTTTGAATAAAATATATTGTTTTTCCTCGTGTTTCTTCTTCCTTCTCTTCTACTCTTAATTACCTCCGGGGGAGGAGACATCCTTCCACGGAAGGGTTTTGTGAGAGATTTAGATTTTCATGTTCGAAGCTGTTTCTCGCGTTTGGGTGGACGGATTCTTTTGAGACTAGGTATATGTTTTGCTATTGGGCTGCAGATAATGCACATTCTTTTGTTTTTATTGTATGTGTGTTTTCGGGTGAGAAAATTGTGCCTTTTGGTGGTCCCAGAACACCCCTTTGAGCGTGAAAGTGGTCGCGACTGTTGACCTTTGGCGTGTATTAGGTATTGTCAGTCTCGTCCACGAAGGTGACCCCTCGCACAGAGGGGTGTCCGGTCTCGATAAATTCTTTATTTAAAACCCTAGTCCTGCGGCGCGCAACAATTGTTCTTGTAAACAACATATAAAAAAATATACAATAAAAAGCCCGGAGGTATAAAATCTCAGATTTTACTTGTTTTGTTAATGGATTTAATTTCTTGGTTTTTTTTTTTTTTGGCCAAGTGACATGGAATTTGGTATGAAGGTAGATTGGTAAAATGCCCCCAGACCTTTCTTTTCATTTTTTGGATATACATGCTTTTGAAATTAGGTAATGTTTTTTTGTTTTCTGTTCTGGATAAAGTTGGTTACAATTTTGGTTTTGGCGCCATTTTTAGGCGAAAATGTACATCTTGTGACCTGGATCCCTGTTATTCTCACTTTCGGCATGTGACACCGAGCAATTGTCGGCCTTTCTAGTTCTAAATCACTTTTACATCAGCAAGATAAGATGATATAAGGTCATTGTGAGTCTGCGGTGAGGAATCGACTTCCCCTATCGGAACTGCGCGGCGCGGGCGAAAGGAATTTTAATGTTTTAGCCGACGTTGTTAGTAAGATGGAAAATATCTTCAGGTTATCTTTCCTGTTGCTTAATTTACTTTCTAGTTTACAAGAAATTTCATATATCAATGTTGTATCAAAGCCTTAATCCTAAAAAAAGGTATTCGAACACATGATTGACAACACGTTTTTCTTGAATTTTACTTACTTTCCCTGTCACCGTACTTTCGTGGATATTGTCAGCACAGCATAGGCAATGAACTACACGCTGATTATATACTTTATTTATTAGACTATTCAATATGTACTTGCATGAGCAGCAACAACACCAGCAACAACACAAGCCAGTCCCTCTGGAAATGTGACTACGCCACCGGGTGTGTTCTGTGGCAACCCTACTGTACTGAATGCAACCATTGGCAGCTTCACGTCACCGGGCTACCCAGGAAACTATCCAAACAACGCTAACTGTTCCTGGCAGATATCTGTCAATACTGGTGAAGTTATCGCCTTCCGGTAAGATATTATGTTCGCTTTTTGGTTGCATTCCTTTGGACAGAAACAGAATATATGGCATGATCTATTGCATTTACATTGTCCATACGTTATCTGCCGCTCCGTAGTGCCATTGTTTATAAAAAATAATTGCCTACTTTCAAGTTGCACTACTGTTTGCCTAGGTTTAGTCAGTTTAGCCTTGAGGGTGGAAGTAGCTGTCCCTGGGACTACCTAGCTATATACGACGGCTCCGATTCAACAGCTCCGCTTCTGGCCAGGCTATGTGGTACCTCCGGTACAACAACCTTCACAACAGGGAGGAACGCCTTCGTGGTCTTTAGAAGCGACTCGATCGTGTCACGCACTGGGTTTTCTGTCAATTTCACTGCTGAAAGCAGACCTGGTAAGTTTTCTGACTACTGTCCATGTATTGAGTTTCTCTGGTTTGAAGGTGACGCCTTTGAACACCACTTTGATACCATAGATTTTTATAACATACGGTGATTGTTTTTTGGCCTTCCTTTCAAGCAAGCCGTCAATGTTACTTTATACTCTACTCCATATTTCAGACTAGTAAGTATCATTAATAATATAAACTCCCTATAATCTAATTAATATAATGAATAATGTTTAATGTTTTTCCTATAATAAACATAGCTATATAATTTTTGTCGCGATAAGACTATACATAGTTTTTAACATTACATTTATGTGCAATTATTACAATTCTTCATTGTCTTGTACCTTTGTTTCTTGTGGTGTACCATTGCGCATTCGGCATAAGTTGCACAACTTGAATCACTTTGTCGTGTGTAAGTTTTTTAATCATTATGAAATTATTATTTTAAAAATGTTTGATTTTCCTTCTGTGGTGTGCTTCTAATTTTTAAGACCAATTAGCGGACAACTGGAGATGTGACTTTGATGAAGATCAGTGTGACTCCAGTATTACTGCGGGGAGTTTCCAATGGATTCGGTACACCGGCAGTACCCCATCTGTCTTCACAGGACCATCAGCAGACCATACAAATGGATCCGGTATGTCAACCATATTCACCTTAAGTTGGTCAAAAACAGGTTTTCCCCAATGTTTTCTACCTTAAATAACAACAGAATCGAAATATGAATAGCCCTGCATATTTTCTATATTTTAACATATATTTAGAAATATTCGAATGCTTTGTAATATTCTGAAAGATTTACTATGTATTATCTATCTAGGAAATAATTGCCTTGCTAATTCCATTTGTTAACTTCTGTTATTATCCTATCGTTTGCCTTCATCTCATCGACGTTACGTGTCAAATTACAAACGCGATTGTCTTGTACATGCAATGATTTGCGATATTTAGTTAATTTAAATGATAGAAAGGAACAATATAGCTAGCTCAATGATGTAACAGGTAACTTGTTTAATCTGCAGGGTTTTATATGTACACGGAAGCTAGTAGTGGTTTTACTGGTGCGACGGCAAGTCTGGCGTTACCCATCTTTCGCTCTGATGGTCAGTACTGCCTGCGGTGGTTCTATCACATGTATGGATTGAGCATGGGAACACTGAACGTCTATCTCTCACAACCTGGTCAATCTGACATGTTAGTGTGGACAAGGTCTGGAAGCCAAGGAAATGTGTGGTGGCCTGCTGTGACTTATATTTCCACCAGTGCTGTTTTATTTCAGGTGAGTGATAAATAAAACAACTAAGGAAAAGTAATTGTCATAATATTGCAAAGAAATGAAAGATATTTACCCATTGTTTTATTCCGTGCGTGCAAAGTATACCGGTAACAAAAGTATACTAAGAGTATTGACTGCTTTGTTGTTTATTCACGAAGACATCATTTTACAGATTCGGTTCGAAGGTGTAAGAGGAGCTGGCTTCGGCAGTGACATGGCAATCGATGACATTGCTATAACATCTGGTCTCTGTGGTAATGTTTTTTGTTCTTTTGTTAGCCCCGGATCCCATGTACATCCATTGAAACATATTTTGTTATTAATATTATATTTTGAATGTTTGATTGAATGTTATGAATTGAATTTTCAATTAATAAATTTAGTTATCCATATATTTATTCATTTAAAATTCAATACTTTTATAATTCAATAATTAAATTCAGGGAAATCATTCTGACCTTTTCAGCCAACTGTTCTGAAGACCAGTTTGCCTGCTGGGACGGAAGCTGTATTTCCGGCAGCCTAATGTGTGATGGTAATTCCGACTGCCCCTATGGAAGCGATGAAGTCTTTTGTAACCAAACGCTAAGTAAGTGATTTCATTACAATACGTGCATTGCCACAATACTTAAGCTAGAGCAAGTAGCTTGTTGAAGATGTGAGATGTTTACTTGCAATCTTGTTTTAGTCTGTAAAATGTTGATGAAAGTAGACTCTACCACCAGGTAGCTGCTGCTAGACCAAGGTAGATACACAGCTACGAAGTATCTTAATTATCGTTAGTATCATTAGACAATTACAGGTTTCCAATATTTGGAATTTACTGCGTATGTTTTCTCTCTCATTTTGCAGCTACATGTACCTACATGTGCAGATGTAAAATTACCTCCAATGCATCTAATTGAATTTTTAATTGCGTTGGAAATCAAAGTAACATGTTTCTACATGTTTCTTCGTCTTATTTTTTTCCATAAACAGCACACACCACTGAAACGCCCACCGCAACGGTTTTATGTAAGTACCTAAGTTTATCGTGTCATTTTTGGGCACAAATCATTGCAGGCCGATCTTATTTAAAAACCTCGCCTGTTTTTTGGGGGGAGGGGGGCGAATGAAGTTCAAAATTCATGCATACGCGGATGCTTTCTATATATAATCAAATTAACAGTGAAAACAAAAGGCCAGCAAATGATGATAGACCAACAAATTCTAAAAATTTACCTTAGATTTAAGATAATCAACGGTGCATTTCATTTTACAGCCACGCCTTCTGCTGCCAAATGTGGAAACATGTCCGTACTAACGGGATCCTCTGGTAATTTGACGTCCCCTGGTTACCCCGGCAACTACCCTAACAACGCCGCCGCTTGTTGGCTGATAACTGTGAGCTCTGACATGATCGTCGTCATCAGGTATTTTTTTTTTTTGCTTTAGTTGTCAATGCGAAACATTGCAAGAAATGATAAAGAATTCATTAAAAATTAACAAAAACCCCAGTCTAATATAAATAGGGTAAATAAAATACACGGCCTTCGTTTTAATCAATTTATCATTGTGCCGTTATGGCTTTTGGAATGACTGGTCTAGACAGTGTCACCATATTATCAACAATAATATCCAATGACTCCCATAAGGTTTACCCTAATGATTGTTACCTATCTAAACCCAGCTTTGAAAGTAAAGAAGATTGAATGGAATTATTCTCATTATGATTGTAAAATTAGCATTTTGAACGATTTCCTTTAAAACGATTTGAAAACCTTTAAGCTACCTTTTACTAATGACTTGCTAAACACTTCATATTATTTAACACCAACAATTCATATTATTTATGAAGTTGAACTCTTTGACTTCCCTTTGCTGATAAAAAAAGGATAGTATATTGTGTAATGGTCATTTTGTGCAACACGACCTAATGATGAGTAATGTGAAATAATTGCAGATTCCCAGCGTTTAACGTCGAAAATGCGCACAACTGTGTGTATGACTCCCTGGTTGTTCATGATGGTTTAAACGATACGGCTCCCGTACTTGAAACCCTTTGTGGCCCATCAGCTAGACCAGTCTTCACCACTGGAAACAGCGCCTTTCTGGTCTTCACCAGTGATGGTTCCGTGACAGAGGCCGGATTTTTAGCTACCTTTACTGCTGAGGATCCCCCACGTAAGTAAAAGTGTTTAACCATCTTATTACGCAATAACAAAACAAAATCAGTATCTTGAATAATGTACCTACCTTGATTACCTTAGTTACTTTAATTTAACATCTGCGTAACACTTCGGTATAAATCATGCTGATTAGGAACAAAAATTCGTAAGAGATAGCGATTGTTTCCTTTGTAAATTTCTTCATGTCATTCACCGTCAGTCATATCTGATTTTCAGGAACATGCTCTCCTGAAGAGTTCACATGTTGGAATGGGGACTGTGTCAACATGTCTCTTACCTGTGACGGCATCAGAGGCTGTTCTGATGGAAGTGATGAAATTATTTGTGGTAAGTTCTGTATAAACATTTCATTTAATTGTGGTCTATACAACGGATTTCATATCGACACATGGTGGGATCTACATTTTTCATATTTCTAATGATAAAAAGACATACATCTTACATTTAATTCTTTTGAAGAATAATGTAGCATACAACTGAAATGCAAATGGAATTTAGATAAAGGTTTTTATATGCCTTTTTATCTTGCTGGGAGTTCAAGCAAATCTGTTTTTTTAATCTTTTATATCTGTGTACCTGGTCCAGCAAACGTTAACGGTGGTGCGAAGTGCGGTGTTCCGGCTATACAGCCGACCTTCCCCGTAGCCCGTATCGTCGGTGGTAACGCTGCCCGCCCGGGAAGCTGGCCCTGGCAGGTCTACTTGCTACATTACAACTCCTTCCATTGCGGTGGAAGTCTCATCCACCCCCTCTGGGTCCTAACCGCTGCACATTGTGTGGAAGATAAGTAAGTATGGGGTTTGGTCTATATAAAGGCTGCAGGAGATTTGGTTAATGGTGGAAATCAGACTACGTGCAGTATGTGGGTTTGCCAGAAACGACAGTAAAATCCTGACTCAACACAGCTACAGGCCAACTCACACTTTCACACATACGTATATATATATACAGCATCAATTACATTAATGTTGAAATTGTTTGTTGTATCCCTGTTGATACACCAGTCCAACGACCTGCATTAATGTATTTCAGTCTGTCACCCAGCGGGTACGACGTCATCCTTGGCAAGTACAACAAACCCGAATTTATCACCGACCCAACAGAACAACGAATACCTGTCTCCAAGGTAGGTGCGTTATATATTTGGCAGTGCAATCACACGGTCCTTTCCAGTTTGAACGCATATCCCTGCTTCAAAAACATTAATGCTTCATACATGTCAGATGATACACTTAATGCTATGAGCGGGCCCTAAATCTTAACTACTCTGGTTTACTTTTACAGGTTATTATCCACAGTGGATACAGCACTAACCCGACAAATAAGGACCTGGCCTTACTGAAGTTGGCCCGACCGGTGACACTGAACCAGTACGTCTGGCCCGTCTGTCTTGTCTCGGGCCCAGGAGCCGATCCTCCCGAGGGAACCATCTGTGTCATTACGGGATGGGGAAATACCCAAGGCAAGTTATGCCAAAGAAAAGCCTGTCTTGTTTATGTAATAGCTAACCCAACCTAAACTTCTTGTTTTCACACTTGTCTAGCTATAGCTAGTCACTTGACCTAGATGACAATGGTCACACAGGTCACGTGACATACTTCTTAATGCATTCGAAGAGCACGTTTGCAGAACGTACGGCGCCTGCGCGAACCCCCCCCCCCCACATTTTTCACGGTTTTGGTTGCTTTTTTTTAGTCAACGCTGCATTCGAATTTTGCCTGTTGCAGACGATATTTATTTCCGACATAACAGACGGCGTGTTAATCTTATATGTCCGAATACAACGTTATAAAAGACTTCTGCCGAACATTACGGGCTTCGCGTGCAGTACGTTCTGCCGACGTGCTCAAGCGTGTTGATTCTAGAGCATAATATTGCCCATCTCGTCACTTCTTTCCATATCAGGTACGGGAAACGAGGACGTTCTGAAACAAGCCCGCGTCCCATTGGTCAGCAATGATAAATGTAACAAGGCCCCTTCGTTAAGCTTAGCTGGCCAAATCACTGAGTATATGATGTGCGCTGGTTTCTACGACACTGGCGGCCATGATACCTGCCAGGTAAGTTGGAAAATACGATATAGCGACAAGGACATGATTATGTTCTGTGGATCATTATGTAAGGAAACCAGTGTACGTAAGAAAGTACGGCAATATCCAATTGGTCAAAACTATTAGACAACTATTGACCACATAACTGCACCATGTACCATTTAAAATATCCAATCACAAACAGATATAGCTATTATAGCTATATCTAAGTTATAACGCATCTAACTTACAAAGGTATGTCGATATTTCCTTTTAATGACCCCTTCTATGACATGACCCCCAATGCAAAATTATAGGCATGAACCACGTATACCGCAGATGTAATACTAGAATACAATGTTGCAAATCGTAATACCTTTCATTATACAATGAAATAAGAAATCCTGCCTTATGTTACATATGAACATGTGTTCATACACCTGAATCCACGTCTATCTTGCAGGGTGACTCTGGCGGCCCGCTTGTCTGTCCGACGGCAGGACGGTGGACCCTTCACGGTGTGACCAGCTGGGGGGACGGGTGCGCTCGACCCCAGTCCCCTGGAGTGTACGCACGGGTCAGCTCCATGCTGGACTGGGTTCACAAGACAATGGACAACAATTAAAGCAAAGACATTCACCTACCCGGTCTGTTATTCCTCAGTAGATTCACATATGACCTTTATACTTGTCATATTCAGCAAAGCATATTAGCAAAAGAGTGCATCTTGTCAAATATTTCGTGCTGTATTCAGTATGTTTATTGCGTAGCCATTATGTAACATCATATATATCCAAGAGGCGTGAGAGCCTAAAATCTTTGCCTTCCGTTTCTATATATGAGTATGAATTAATGTAACAATGTAACCACAGCTAATTAATTAGCCTATGATGGTCGATTTTCGAAGGTATCCTTAGCATTACATATAGATCGCATTATATATTGTATGCATTTACTGCACACGAGTTTAAATCGAATAGATAAGAATTAAGGAGAGGTGAACCGATTGACAAGTTGCCCGTCGCTACAGTTCCGCGATAGACCAATGATTGGGCACATATACCTTATATATACATTATCAATGTATTTTGAAAATGCAGATTATACCTAGTTTGTATTTTACGTTGGCACATCGTTTTTCATCTGTTTCTATTAGCTGGACAATTTCGAAATCCACAATGTAGTCAAATGACACATACAGAATTTAACTGACTTAATTTAACTTTTTTCACGAGTTTAAATAGATGCTAAAATACAGTATCTTTTAGTTAAAGCTCAATTACCCATGTATTATGTATTTTTATTATATGTACTTTTTACACTGTAAATATCAAGTATTAGAACAAAAAAATCTGAGGCAGTTGGGACAGTTAGGATAGTTTATTCCACTTGTTCCAGCCGAAGTTCCTAACAAAGTATGCACCTATAAGACGTACGCTGAGCATTAGTTAAGCGTTATTGACCATTACTATTTAGTTGTTGAAGAACCTTAGCTTTAACATAGATTGTAAAAAGAACGGTAAAATAAAGTTCTATATTGGCTCCTATGGTTCGACTCACTAGACGTTTATTGTGTAATTCATTTACACAAATCAATAAACTATAAGTATGAAATTAATTTACTTCTATGCATAATTTATAGTTTAAGTGCTTGAATGAGTGCTTTATATCTTTATATTGCTATCTATGCTGTTACATGCAATTATACTTAGTGAATATATAGCTGTAGCTACGCATTTTTTTAACTAAAACAGTAATAACTATGAAAAAATCACTCTAGAAATGTCATTTCTGTAAATACTAATTACAGCATATAGCACTCACAAAAGGCAGGATTTTACCATAATTTCACTAAAGCTTTGTTTGAACTGAAAGTCCTAAGGCTTCAAAACATTTATTCATCGTTAAGTGCAAAATTATGATAGGTCAGAACTATGTAAACTGGCTATTCCATGGATCCAACTGTCTCTGATGGCACTGTAACAGAGACGCATCGAGCCATGCAGAAAATCTGCACAATCTGTATTAAAATGATCCACTTACGCTAGTGAAAAAAATTCTCTCAATCCAATGCAAAACCTCTAGGCTTAGGACCACCGCGATGCAGTTTCTTGCAGTAACGTAATGCCTAATCTCCTTTGTTCTTCTAAACATAAATGTGTCATAATAGCGTAGATAACAAATCTTTTAATTTTCTAATTAATCATGCCTCAATAGCTGAAATAGCATGTCATCTACTGTGATTTTGTTATTGAAATAAGCCAGTCATTTATTCATTCATTCATTTAAAGAGATTCCGGGTATTGGCGATCTTTCTTCAGTTGTTTTCCATTGTTTGGTGTACCCAGCCGCGCATGGTGCTGACCCTGGCGTACACTCCTGGGTGGTGAGGTGTGACGCAGTTTGACGCCCCCCAGCTGGCAACACCGTAAAGGGTCCATCTCCCTCCAGTTAAACACACAAGGGGGCCACCGGAATCACCCTGAAAGATCAACTACTTTGAGCAATGGATATACAGTAGTAGCAATTCTACGATGCATATGAATTCGTATTAAAAATGAATGCATATGAATTCTTAAGCTTATTAGAGCTCGAGAGAAGTATTACAGATTTAGGCCACGCCTACCTTTCTATATAAATCTAAACGTACAAATAGATGTTTGGCAGTAAAGACAATGATAGCATATACTGGCAAATTGAATAAAAAACAGGAAGAAAGTAAGTAAATTTTTTGGTGAATGACAGAGATTTGTGTTTTGCCGGGGCCGATATTATTAACATTTCAACTGTTATAATAGATGTTAATTGAACAAAACTTATTATTCCATGCACTGAGGTTTGCTATTGACATTTGTAACATGGGAAATTATATTTGAAATCACCATTAAAGAACATGTTCGAATGTGTCTGAAAGTTAGAAAAAAGTTCATGTCCCTGCACCATATTTTATACATTCTAAGTAAGTAAGAAATGGTACTCTTACAAAACAGGGTCCATGGCCCCCGGAATCATAGTAACCCGCGCAGATCATAAAGTCGGTGATTTGTCCATCATACAAAGTGGAGTCGTCACATTTCTCATTGCTGACTAATGGGATACGGGCTTGCTTCAGGACGGTGTCGTTTCCTGTGCCTATTGGTAACATTGATGTGATTAGTATAATTAGTAGCTCTATACGAAAAAGGAAACATATGGTTTTAATCCAAATGTCTGCAAATATTAATTTTAAACTGTAAAAGTTAAAACATTATGTTTGGTGAAGTCGCAATGAGGATGTATGTACTTGCCTTGAGTACTTCCCCATCCCGTAGTGACACAGCTGGTTCCCTCGGGAGGATCGGCTCCTGGGCCCGAGACAAGACAGACTGGCCACACGTTCTGGTTCAGTGTCACAGGTCGGGCCAGCTTCAGTAAGGCCAGGTCCTTATTTGTCGGGTTACGGCTATATCCGCTGTGAATAATGATCTGTGAACACATACATTTGTTAGAAAATGAAGATACAGTTGTAATTAAAGTTAATGTTAATAATCACTCATCAGTCATTATCTTTACCAGTGTGTCGAAGAATGACAATGAAATGGAATCGTATGGACGCTGGTATGTCTGCATTATAATTACCTTGGAGATCTGCAGGCGTTGTTCTGTTGGATCGGTACTGAATTTGTTATATTTCCCCAGGATAACGTTGTAGATGCTTGGTGAAGGACTGAAATTGATTACAAATGCAGGTCTTATAAGAATTATAAGAATTGATATATCATTGGTACGCAGCCGCCAGATGATGATGATGATATCATTGATTTAGCCCTTTGCATTGTATTGTATAAAATATTCCATGTTTTGTTGGGGTTATCGTTTTCACCACTATCTTCCTTACAAAGTTATCAATCAATTGTAATCGTACTAAATAAGACACTGGACTGAACTGAATTAACACCCCATCAAATACATACTTTGCCACACAGTGAGCAGCGGTTAGGACCCAGAGAGGGTGGATGAGGTTACCGCCGCAGTGGAATGAGCCATAACGCAACAATTGGACCTGCCAGGGCCAGCTCCCCGGGCGGGCAGCGTTACCACCGACGATACGGGCTACGGGGAAGGTCGGCTGTATAGCTGGAACACCGCACTTGGACCCAAAGTGCACTGGTGCATGTAGAAACACAGAAGTTAAGTTAAACATTCCCCAAATTCAGCTACGGTACACTACAGTACGTTACGTGTAGTTTACCTTAATTGGTATTGGTAATGCTCAATTCAATAATAAAATATTTTTTACATATTTTACGTATGTTTATTATTATACGAATGGGAGTGCCATTGTCTTTCCAAAATTAACATAGGTATAAATGTCATTGGCATTGGCAGATTAAAAAAAAGAAAGCACAGCTGTTAAATATTAAGTAATTTACAAACTTTTAGTCATTCTTTCATACCTTTCCATTCAAGTGTTTCTTATGGTCATTCATATTTGCATTGCTGTTGCTATGTTGCCTTGGGAATTCATCTTAATGCTGTTGAACTATATCCTAAAATCATTTAACTATGTCCTAAAATCAGTATAAAATTGGCGTCTGTATATCTTACTTTGGAAATAAAAAAAAACTAACCACAATCGATTTCATCACTTCCATCAGAACAGTCTCTGATGCCGTCACAGGTAAGGGTCGTGTTGACACAGTCCCCATTCCAACATGTGAACTCTTCAGGAGAGCATGTTCCTGCAAAACAAAATGATTGAATCAGTAAAAGGGTTATTGTGACACAAAAAGTGTCGTAACATCAGCGCAAGTCATTAAAAGGGTTTGGTTTAAAATTTAATTCGTGTAATTTCAATGACTTAAAATAATGCCTTTGTGGAGGAGATAAATTTTCAGACTGAAGCATGGACCCGGGGAAAAAACTGTTGCATTCCTTATCAGCAAAAAAAATATTGCTATCTAAGCAGCTAGAGAACCCGTTTCTATTTCAAAGGACAGGCGGGGTTTGTACAAATGCAACGTTTTGCACTTACGAGGGGGATCCTCAGCAGTAAAGGTGGCATGGAATCCAGAGGTCGTCACTGCACTATCACTGGTGAGCATGACAAAGGCGCTGTTTCCAGTGGTGTAGACTGACCTAGCTGATGAACCGCAGAAGTTGGCGAGCACAGGAGCAGTGCCATTCGGCCCATCATGCACAGCGAGGGAGTCATAACGACAGCCAGTAGAGCTTTCCAAGTTGAACGCTGCAAATCTGCAAGTATTTTGCATCATATGTTACTATTTTATCAAGATTACAATAAAAACTAGATCCAATTCTCTTATGATTCAATTGTTAAATTGGTCGATCGATGAAATATAGCCAGCTGCCGCCGTGCCGCGGGCCGCCTAATCGCAATGTTTTCGCAAAGGGTGGTTATACCGGCTATACAGATACTAAAACAGATATGGTTGAGCTGTGTGAAAATAGTTGAATTGTTGACGATTATAATTCATTAGAATATACGAGGCTGTGTAACACAATCTGTCCAACTAGTTATAAATGTAAAGCCAAAAATACACTTTTTCTAAATTCTGTTACAATATGTGTTTGAATTGGCTATGTACGTAATGACCCGTACTAGCATTATCAACTTTTTCGCCAGTGATTATGGTAATAAAATCAGCTGGCCCGATTCCTTTAACCACCAAATGATGTGACCTAAGTAGATCATTAACCCTTTACCTGATGACGACGATCTTGTCAGGGCTCACAGTTATCAGCCAGGAACAGTGGGCGTTGTTAGGGTAGTTGCCAGGGAAACCAGGGGACGTAAAATTACCGGAGAAGCCCGTTAGTTCAGTTGTGTTTCCACATTCTTGCGATGGAATCGCTACAGAATAGAAACATTTAACGATAATCATTGATTGCCTACAACTTGACAATGGTAAAGTTTCTTACCATTTTGAAACATTTCTAAGTTGTAAAATTGGTTTGTAGCCATCGATCTTAAAAATGAACTTGGTCAGACCTTTCGCCTTCCTACATGTACATGCAATACCACCACGCCAATAGCATAGTCTGTGACATATGTTTACGTTTAACACTGTACATGAACACTGGATTCTAAGTGTGGAATTCACGATTTCATATATCGGAAAACGTAACGTACCATTTGGAACAGCACAGTTGGTCTCGGGAAGGAGTTCACAAATAGAATCGTACCACTGCAGGTTTAGGGCATTGGCTCGTGCGCCACATGTAGCATTGATCTCGTTACAAAGTGAACGGCATGGATATCTGCAAAGTTTAAAAAATGATGGTGTTATTTTTCATTCTTTCCTGAGACTGGATTACCAGATGCACAGTCAGAGAAGGGGGAGGGGATGAGAAAGAATTTGATCATTCAATTTGATCGTTCATACATTAAGCAACCTACACCCCCAAAACATCACGATGACCTATCGACTCCTTCACATGTTATAAACTTCCAAAGCCAGACCCTCAAGTTAGAATAAAGGGTTACAGACCTAAACCACTTGTTAACGCCTCCAAATGCTAACAATAATTTACCAACCTCGTAATAACGTATTGGACTACTCACACTTGTCCATTCGACGTACATCTAGGGAAGAATATCGAACACAAGAAGGCATGCAGGTCCCGATGACAGTCCCTAATTCGATCGTATAGCGGGAACAATGATTGCACATTCTGAAAAGCAGCGGTTTGAGACGGCCACCGAAAGATGTTTGGGAATGATGTCTGGTTGTATGACAAGCCCATGCAGCGGTTGTACTGGATTGGCTCACATCCTAAAGTAAAGTAAAAAGGTCAATTTAATAGATTTTAAAGAAGAACACTAGAGTTTGCCGCAATGTACAGGGGGTTTAAAGGTCATTGATAACATCATTGTTGCCAATCCGTTTGTCTATGTATTTCAATGTCAAAAGTCAAATAATTTTTTTGTCTAATTGCCACTTATGTAAAAGAAGGCAAAGCGTTTACAATTGTTAGCAGACAATCTGTAAGCACTTCAATAGCTGTGGTGAAGATATAATAGTTAGCTCTGGACAAAGTGATGACTTCTGGCATATTGAATTAGATATGCTTTCTAGATATGAAAATATATTCTATATATCTATATAGTTTTGCCCTATACTTCGCTTTGTCACTCGCAAAAAGTAAAAAGAACATTACGAACAATGCAAACAAATATAACAAGTATTTCAATAAAAAATAACCAATTAATGCAACACGTCACCCATTTTAGAGTTTAAATCACTTACTACACGACACCTCATCACTTCCATCTGGGCAGTCAGAATGACCATCACACGTCAGGTTGGTGGGGATACAACTTCCGTCCCAGCAGGCAAACTGGCTCGCATTGCAAGTGGCTGAAATAGCAGACGAGATGAAAACATTTTAGGGAAAAGCTATTTCCTTAGATACAAATAACTTAAACTAATCAGTTTTCTTAGAGATTACTTTGAGTTCCAATGAAAAAAGCCAGGGATCATTCCTTCCTTAGGACAAGCGTATCTAACATTTCAATGTGTTCTACTTTACTATAGAATGAATCCATATTATATACAATTTTAAGTACATCGTTCATAAAAATGTAGAAAGTAGTGTATGTATTATTCACAAGAGGAAAGAACAAAAATTATCTTACCGCAGGGTCCAGAGCTTAAAGCAATGTCATCAATCGCCATGTCACTGGTGAAGCTAGTTCCTCTTACACCTTCAAACCGAATCTGTGAAATGACATGATTGTATATATTATATATATATATATATATGTATATATATATATATATATA